CCATCCATCCATCCATCCATCCATCCATCCATCCATCCATCCATCCACCCATCCATCCATCCATCCTCCATCAGTCACACTTCTACAAGGGCCTGCAGGGACAGGACAAGGGGGAATGGCTTCCCACTGCCAGAGGCAGGGTTAGATGGGATATTGGGAAGGAATCCTTCCCTGTGGGGGGGTGAGGCCCTGGCACAGGTTGCCCAGAGCAGCTGTGGCTGCCCCAGCCCTAAAAGTGTCCAAGGCCAGGTTGGAGGGGGCTTGGAGCAACCTGGGCTAGTGGAAGGTGTCCCTGCCCATGCCCTGGATGAGCTTTAAGGTCCCTTCCAACCTACACCATCCTGGGATTCTATAAAAAGTTTTGCTGAGCCGTGTCCATTTCTGGTGGTTTTGGACCCCACCATCCCCAGGTGCTGAACCTGCCTGGGAAGGAATCACACACCAGGAGGTTGCCCCATGTAATGATCCTACACCAGTAATTCCTGGAGGCTGATCCAGGGATCCATGGAACATTGGTGCTGGCATGGCAGGGCAGTGCTGGGGGCAAGGGGACTTTATTACATCAACATAAAGGGCCATGAAAGCCAAACCCCATTAATGAGTGGAGTAACAACCCCCAGTCATGCAATAGTCATTTCTCCACCCTCAGGCATCTTGTGTGAGACTGGGAGGCTGCTTTGCAACAATAGAATATGTCACTTGAAAAAAAAGGGCTGTGCTTTAAGGGAAACAAACCTTTTGTCTACCTCAAGATGTACAAGGTGTGTGACAAGAAGTATGGATGTTATTTATACCTCTTATATTTTCTCTAGAAGGAAAATGGTGCTGTGGGTTTTAAGTTGCATTACAGTCCTGCTTGTACCTTGTCTTAATTTTTATATAATCCTTTTGATTATAATGCGCTTATTTGTGTGTCCAGTGTTGCACAACTGTCTGCTCTGCTGGTGTTCTTGTCAGTCAATAAATACCAGTTGTTTTCTAAGAATGTACATTTCTGCCTTAAAGGAACATCCCTGGGAAATACCTTTGAATAACCCCATCCCTCCATGGGCACAGTGATGTTATTCCTTTAGTTCTCCTTTTCCCACACCTACAGAAGGTAACTGGAAATGCCCATTGCTGCCCACCCACCCAGGTGGGCTGAGCTCAGGTGTGTTTGCACTAAGGGAATGTGACACTGGTGACCAAACCTCATCCAGAACGTGTCAGTGGCACGTTTCCTGTGGCAGCAAAACCACCCATGTTGTGTCCTTGGGTGCTC